GTTTTTGTAATATTTATGATTCTTTATTCATTTTTGTTGGAGCCCCAATAAAACAACAACAGCAACCTAAATCATCATCATCATTAAAACATGGTGGTAGTTTGATTCATTATTCTTTGTTGCACCATTTAAAAGAAGAAAAAAAAAAAACCGTGAGCACAAAAGAGCCAGCCATACTTTTGATCAGTCCTGATCTTCCTTGATTTTTAACACAAACTTTTTAAAACATCTTTGTGCTCTCTAAGACACATCGAAAGACTATGAACACCAAACTGGTTATTCTAAGGTATCACTCTAAATGTTTTCTATCATCTTTAAAAGCAAAGATTTGTTACACAGGCTTTACTCCTGAATAAATAAAGATGGCAGGAAAGGGTTCACTGTTGATGTGAGCCAAAGTGGATACGAATGAATTGTAATGCATCTTTAAACAATGCTTTAGCCCAGTGGATAAGTCACCGTGGAACCACAGTATATCACTGGAACACAGGGAGCAAAGTGGAAATATTCTGGCAACATTGGGAGCGAAGTGGGAATATCCAGGAACATGGATGGCACGGTGGGAATATGGAGGAACCACTGGAGCTGAGGCAGAAATATAATGAGAACACTATGGGTGAAGTGGGAAATCCAGAGAACAACACGGAAGAAGTGGAAATATTCAGAGAACTCTGGGGGCAAGGTGGGAATATGCCAAGAACACTGGGGGTGAGGTGGGAATATCCGGCAAACACAGGGGGTGAGGGGGCAATATCCTGGGAACAAAGTGGGTGAGGTGGGAATATCAAGAGAACATTGGGGACTAAGTGGGAATATCCCGGAAACACTAGGAGTAGGGTGTGAATATCCCGGGAACCCTGGGGCGAGGTGGGAATATCCAGAGAACCCTAGGGGCGAGGTGTGAAGATCCCAGGAACACTGTGGGCAAGGTGGAAATATCCCAGGAACGCAAGGGGTGAGGTGAAATTATCCTGAGAACACTGTGTGCGAGGTGGGAATATGCCATGAACACTGGGTGCAAGGTGGAAATATCCCGGGAACACCTGAGTTGAGGTGGCAATAATGCGATTAAGGATATGGAACGCCTTCCGGAAAGCTGAGGTGGGAATATCTGTTTCCCAATGTGACACACACCCACGGAGTAGTATAACCCCCCGCCGTTGTGCTTTTTTTCTTTTCCTTGCCCGGGTTTGGTGGGTTGTGTACCCCCCGGGGGCGCACCAAAAACAAAATTGTGGTTTACTGACCCCTCCTCTTCTCCCCCTCTGCAAAACAAAAAAAAGTATTTTTTTTAGAAAAAAAAATGTAGAAGAGCTTAGAATATCCAGAAACAAGAGGGAAAAGGGAATATCCTGGGAACACTGAGGGCGACGTGGGAATATCCCAGGAACACTAAGTGCGAGGTGGGAATATCCTGGAACACTGGGGGCAAGGTGGGAATATCCATGTAACACTGTGGGAAAAGTGGGACTATCCTGGGAAGTGAGAATACATCGTCAACATTGAGGGCGAGGTGGGAATATCCTGACAACACTGGGGGTGAGGTGGGAATATCCCTGGAACATGGCGGACGAGGTGGGAATATCCCTGGAACACTGGGGGCCTGGTGGGAATATCCCTGGAACACCTCAGGCAATGTGGAAATATCCCAAGAACACTATGAGAGATGGGAATATCCTGAGAAAACAGGGTGAGAGATGGGAATAAACCGGGAACGCCTAGAGCAAGGTGGGAATATGCGGGGAACACTCGGGGCAAAGTGGGAACACCCCTACAACACTGTGAATGAGGTGCGAATATCCCGGGAACACAGGTGGCAAGGTGGGAATATTCCCGGAACACTGCGGGCGAGGTACAAATATCCTGGGGACACTGTGGGTGATGTGGAAATATCCCGATAACACTGCTGGGAAAAGTGGGAATATCCCCGGAACACTGTGGGCGAGGTGGGAATATCATTAGAACTTTGAGGGCGAGGTGGGACTAGCCTGGGAACACTGTGGGTGAGGTGGGAATATCCTGGGAACCCTGGAGACGAGGTGCAAATATTCCATGAACACTGTGGGCGAGGTGGTAATATCCTGGGAACACTGTTGGTGAGGTGGGAATATCCCGGGAACACTTTGTGCAAGTACACAATATCCCAGGATCACTGGCGGTGAGGTGGGAATATACCAGAAACACTGGGGATGAGGTCGGAATATCCTGAGAATACTGGGGGCGAGGTGGGTGATTTCTGGGAACACTTTGTGCATGGTGGGAATATCCTGGGAACACTGTGGACGAGGTGGAAATATCCTGAGAATACTGGGGGCGAGGACGGTATATCCTGGGAACACTTTGTTCATGGTGGGAATATCCCGGGAACACTGTGGACGAGGTGCAAATATCCCAGGAACACTGTGGGCAAGGTGGGAATATCCCAGGAACATTGGAGGCTGGGGGTAAGGTGGGAATATCCTGGGAACCCTGGAGGTGAGGTGCAAATATTGCATGAACATTGTGGGTGAGGTGGTAATATCCTGGGAACACTGTTGAGGTGGGAATATCCTGGGAACACTTTGTGTGAGTATGCAATATCCCAGGATCACTGGGGGTGAGGTGGGAATATCCCAAGAACACTGGGGGTGAGATGTGAATATTTCAGGAACACTGGGTGCAAGGTGGGAATATCCCGGGAACACTGCAGGCGAGGTGTGTATATCCCAGGAACACTAGGGGCAAGGTGGGAATATTCTAAGAACACTGGAGTGAAGTGGGAATATCCCAGAAACACTGTGGGGGAGGTGGGAATATCCCGAGAACATGGGGGCGAGGTGGGAATATCCCCAGAACACTGCAGGTGAGGTGGGAATAATTTGGGAAGACAGGTGAGAGGTGGGAATATCCCAGAAAAACTGGCAGTGAGGTGGGAATATCCTGGGAAACTAGGAGCGTAGTGGGAATACGCCAGTAACACTGGGGGTGAATTGTGAATATCCTAGGAACGCTGTGGAGCAAGGTAGGAATATTCCAAGAACGCTGGGGGAGAGGTAAGAATATCCCAGGAACACTGGTGCAGGGTGGGAATATTCCAAGAACACTGTAGGCGAGGTGGGAATATCCCGGAAACGCTGGGGCAAGGTAGGAATATGCCAGGAACGTTGGGAGCAAGGTAGGAATACACAATGGATGAGATGCCAGTCCATCACAGAACAACATGCACACATACATTCACACACATATTCACACATTTACTATAGCCAATCAACCTACCAACATAATTTTGGGAGGAAACAAAAGATTGAAAAAGATTGAACCACACACCCTGGAGCTGTGAGGAGGAACCACAACATTACCTGCAACATCACTGCATGTGATAAATAAAATCTGTAGGTGTTAAATTATCACTGTGATCGTAAATTATTTCTAAAGCGCACATTGTTTTGATATGTGTGTCTGTGTGCGTGCACAAGTGTAATTTTTTGACGTTCTTGGTATATATAGGCTCCTCTAGACACAATGCAGTTGCCACAACAACCTACGGAAAAAAAAAATCCCTGCAATCTCTTTCAGCTTCTGTATATGTGTATATCTGCATATCCACACATGAATATGCATTAATTCTCCATAGGTTTGAGTGTACTGAAGCGCAATGAGCAGGTAGAGGAGAGAATATATATAGGGAAAAAAAACACAGAATTGTTTAACAGACAAGAGCATCGTCTTTAGTGTTGTTTTCCAGTGGTGCATTAACAGCAGCAGTAGATCTATAAATCTTTCTCACTGTAGAGGCAATACTATATAAGTATACATAAGGGGTTACTGTACGTGGGAGGGTGTGTGTGTGTGTGTGTGTGTGTGTGTGTGTGTGAGGACGTAAACTGCTGCAAGCATCAAGACAAAATCCAATCTTCTACTAAACATTATTCACAGTCCTGTCTGTACAGAACAACAATGCAGTCTATTTTGCACACTCATTAGTGTGCACTGCTTTGCTGATTTAATTTGTGACTCAATTGTATTTGTTACCCACTGTTGAAAAAGTTCTTCATGCGTATCAAAGCATTGAAATTAGGCAGGGTTGTGGCTATACGGGTGTCATGGTCTGGGTCGGCGCCTTGTGTATTTCCCTGTTTCTTCCCCTTCCCCATGTTTCCAGTGCTTTCGCTCCCTTTTTTTCTGTGTCTGTGTGTGTGTGTGTGCATGTTTGTGTGTGTGTGTGTGTGTGTGTGTGTACTGTTTTCCCTGCATGTACGATTTTCACTTTTTCTTTGAAAAAGTGTGGGAAGATATTAATTTATTTATTTGTTCATATATGCATTTTGTGTAGGCGTGCATGTTGGGAGGTGGCATGGTGCTGCAGTGAGTAGCATTGATGTCTCACAGCTTCAGTGTTCCAGGTTCGATACTGTTCTAAAAACATGCTAGTAGGTGAATGAGTGTGTTAGTGTTTCTGTGCATGATGCATGGCATTCAGTCCAGGATGAATTCCCACCTCAGTCTCAGTATTCAGGGGATATAGGCACCAGATGCACCATGACCCCAAAAAGGATAAGTTGGTTACTGAACATGAGTATGTGGTGCAGGGTAATTTGCTGGCTTTATTACGCATTATTGGTGTTTTTGTGTTGAGAAAAACCACAACCACAAACCGCATGTGATTATATGTGAAGGCCTAAGTATTGTAGTAAATATGTAGGCCAGTATGGAGGTTCAGGTATTTTTTAATAACTTGAACCATTTTCAGGTCTCAGTATACGAAGAACATCACACGCATCCTTCCATCCATCCATTTTCCATACCTTCACAGGGTCACAAGGAGCATGGAGCCTATCCCAGGGAACTCAGGGCACGGGGCAGGGGACACCCTGGATGAGGTGCCAACCCACAGCAGGGCACAATCACACATTATGGACAATTTGGAAATGTCAATCAACCTACAATGCATGTCTTTGGATTGGGGGAGGAGACTGAAGGAAACCCCGATGTACAGGGAGAACACACAAACTCCGGGCACACAGCGTGGAGGCAGGATTTGAACCCCAAACCCTGGAGGTGCAAGGCACACATGCTAACCACTAAGCCACCATGCCCCCATCATGTGCAAATAAGGGATAACATTAACATTTAAACACACTCTCCTACTAAACTGACATTTTTCAGATTTGTTGATTTATTTTATGAAATATAACAAAATATAGTTTTGAATAGTCAACTGCAGACACTACAAATGTCCTATAATGCACCAGCCATCAGCTGCTTCTCAATATGTCAACTGATTTTTAGCAATCTTTCCAAAACCTTAACTGAGCATAAAATGTATCAGTCTACAATGTGTCAATGTCTGCACAAACTGAATGAGTTGGGGATGCACTGATTTAGTCTGTCGATGATCTATTAAACATCAATTGCTGTAAACTAGACCATCCAAATAAAGTAAACATAAAACATAAAATACTTTGCTTACAAAAGTCTGGGAAATCAACTAACATGACTGAATGGTGGCACCAGTTTAATGGAAATGCTTACCCAGCAATTATGATTTTATGGCTTTAAATGAGATAATTATTAATAAAGTGGTAATATTTTTTTTTAAAGTGGTGCTTCACCTTACCACTTTTGACTACACTTTTCACCACAGACTTTTCACCACAGACTGAATAGATAGGATGTGTTTTGTATTTGAAGCAGGGAGAATAAATACATGTAATCAGCTCCCTTAAATCTATTCAAATCTGTGAAAACTCTTCCCTTTTTGAGATAGTGTCTCTAATGCCTGGTCCGATGAGCTGCCTTCTGCTAAATCGTTTACATAAATGCGTGTGATTGGATAAACAGCGACAGGGGGTCTGCTACAGAAGCCACGCAGGTTCATATTTAAAAATATTAGAGTTGATGGCCAGTTTTTTTTTTCCTTCAAGTTGCTGGGTCTGTATCTGGACTGCCATCTACCAGTTATAGAGTGTGTATAGATTATCTACTACACATCAACAAGCATAAACTGTTGACCTATTATTTAAAATTAGTTGATAGACTGCTTGATAACAGTTACCTGTCAGGATTTTCATGATCTATGGATGGTTTAAGCTGTCTGTACGCTCACCCAATACTTTCCTATGCAACCATTTGACCCGTTTTCTGGAGCTCTTCAGGGTCAACCAAAATCCTACTACTTCCAAAAGAAATTACTTTAGTGGATCCTGGATAATTGATATTGTGCAGAAAGCTTAATCGCTCAAAACAGCCAGCAAGCCATTTATCACAAAACAACCCATTTATGTTTTTTTTTTTTTTTTAAAAGCTAAGTGCTGTAATAAATCATCATGACAACTGAGATGGATCATGTCCAGGATGCAGATTTCATGAGTCAAAGCGACTTACAGTCCATTGAATCCCAATATTACATTTTGTATCTAAAAAATAAGCAGTACTTTCCTACACCTGCTGCAAAAACATGACCAGCTTATGTTCGGCTTTTCACTTATCTGCCCAGCAATGTGGAAGGAGCTCTCAGCTACTGGCTGAAGTACAGTATCTGTGTCACTGCAGTTCTCCGGAGGTTTGAGACGCAGCTTGCGTTTCCTCACGTATTCCTATCTGCCCTGGTTTCTGTATTTCATTCCTCAAGAGATGAGAGTAGGTGTTTCAGCATGAAGAGCGTTGTCTCCTGCCCTCAGGACACTACACACCTTTATCGTCAGAAGTGTCATGGGATAATTTGAGCTACATAACTGCTCATTTAACTCTATGTTGTGCTGTAGGGGCTGTGGCACAAATGCTGGTGTTCACTCTATACTTAACTCACATACCTATGTTAAAATAAGAAGCTGAATTTGGCATACACACATGCACACAGACAAATCAGAAGCATCTGAAGGATTCAATGAATTGATATTCAGCTTATTCTGTGCTTTTTCCTCGGGTATTCTAGAAATTCTGCTGATGAGAAGAAGATCCTTATCAACACTGCCACTACAATGAAAGGCACAGGGCATAGAATTGCAAGCTGTTTAATTTAAATCTGATAATGTAAATGAATTTCCGTGTTCTTATCCTGCTGTCCATGTTCATCTTCTCTATTTGTGCATTTTAGCACAGAACAGAATCTTTAGAAGTATTTCCTTGCTTAAATGCAAACAGTAGCACACATAAGAGCAAGAACATCCTCAGCTACAGGCTCATCCCCCCAGGTGCAAGATGGAACGCTTCAGATGTTCCTTTGTGCCAACAGCCATCAGACTGTACAACACCTAACCACCACCTCCCTTGACCTTACTTTTATTACACTACATATATGCTACTACATCGTACCATACAGCTGCGATATATATATAGTATTGCGTACACTGTACCACTGTACATATGTACATATGTACATGGGCTATTTGTATAGTGGGCCTGTACATTTTTGATTGCTGTATATACTGCTTATATGTATGTATATATATATATATATATATATATATATAATATATATATATATATATATATATATATATATATATATATATATATATATATATATATATATATATATATATATATATATATATATATATATATATGTGTGTGTGTGTGTGTGTTGTTGTATAGTATTTGTGCTTTGTGTATATCCTCTTTATATATCCCTGTGTTTTTCTCCTTACTATCTCTATCTCTTTTTTTTGCTGCTGCTGTGATACCCTAATTTCTCCATCTGGGGATTAATAAAAGTATTATCTTATCTTATCTGATCTTATCTTATCTTATCTTATCTTATCCCATGCCCAAACACAAACACACACACACACACAAACCTCCTATGGTCCATTACACATGGTAAATGGTACACTTATATAGCGCTTTTATCCAAAGCGCTTTACACAGTGTCTTATTCACCCATTAACACACACCAATGGTAGCAGAGCTGCCATTCAAGGCGTTAACTTGCCATCGGGAGCAACTTCGGGTTCAGTGTCTTGCCCAAGGACACTTTGGTATGTGGAGTCATGTGGGCCGGGAATCGAACCGCCAACCCAATGATTAGTGGACAACCTGCTCTACCACCTGAACCACAGCCACCCCTGAATATGAATCAAGAATCTGAAATTCAGCTTATGAGCTAGTGTCATTCAGTTTATGAGCTAGTGTAAGTCATGTTCCCTTTCAAAGGGAACTCAACGTTGCAAGAGCTTTATGGTGTGGGAAGCGCCATCGCTGGTCATACACATGACTGGTATCTGAAGCTTGTGCAACATCATGCCTATTTATAGGCCTGCCGTGATCAGGTAACATGGCAATTAAGCACGTCATGTGAGATAAAAACGGCACCTGTGAACCACACCGTCAGCCTTATTATCTTCAGCAAGACTGTATGTCTTTAAAAAAAAAAAGAGAGAGAAAAGTTTGAGTAAGAGAGAATCCAGGAAGTTTCACACTTTCACACTTTCTGAGTGAAGTGTCTAGGGATGGAGAATGCCAGGGCAGCCCTTGAGAGGTCTGACTGTGTGCATTGTGAATGCCTTACAATCAGGCAGCTCAACTCGTGACTTGCCCTCTTTGCAGCCAAAGGGAGTTGGGTTTCAGAGCCTCGCAAATCTGGGCCAGCACCTGACAAGACAACCAGACGGCTCAGGTCCTGGGGATATTGTATGGATCTGGAAGAGGAGCCAGAGACCAGCGCTGTTCTATCTCTTGCTCTGTCTTCCAGGTCTGGCTCTCTACTGGATTTTGGAGCTTGCACCGCGACTCCTCCTTCCGCTATGGAAATTCATCTCTGATTCCGAGGAGACAGAAGGGTGTACCAAAAACAGATAGATGCTCTCAAGCACATAAAGAGCTGCTTGAAGTGATTACTAAGCTTGGATGAGCTTTTTTCTCCCCAGTGAAAATAAATCTCCCTTACACCTCAGAAAACTCCCCTTTTTTCCCCAAAAGTGCATGATGAAATATCATGCTCCTGAGGAAAACCATATATAAGCTGTATTTATAACCCCACAATGTTAGATTATTCAACCATCATGGGGATAGAATGGCATGGTTATTTAGCTATGCCAAATGTGGAGGAGGCGCTTTTGAGCAAGGCCTATGCAGCAGTGGGTCTTGCTTGTGGGTCACTGAATACAATGGTAGTGCTGCAGGTTTACCAAGCAGACCTACTGAGTAAGCTCGACATACGGTGGCATTCAGCCCCAACCGGTCATGTTCACCAACGCTAGTCCGAGGGAGACACAGAAGTTGAGTGTAGTGGCCCGCCTCCCCCCACAGACAGCCAGGGTAACCGGGTAGCCACAGTCACAGTCTGCTAAAATGCCTTATCTGGCAATGGTCATAAAGGTCAAGAAGACAAAGGAGGAGCGGTCCTGAGGGGCCACGGAGGGACGTATCAGGGGAAATGAGGTTGTTAGGGCAGTTAGCTCACAAAGTGCATGAATGCGAGTCTGACTCCCTTGTGACTCCAGTTTAATTCCAGCATGATCCAGATCCAGGGAACTGGCAATTCAACACTGAGATGTTTTTTGCCTACATGAAGAGCTTAGGGCTCAGGTTGAACCTCAAGAAAAGTATTCTGTCTCCAGTGCAAAGGACGATTTTCTAGGGGTTATATGGGATTCTACTATGATAAGGGCATTTCTATCCCCAAAATGCGTAGGGTCAATTCTATAATTAAGAAGCAAGATAAAGCTGGATCTGGGCATCCCCTCCAGTCTCCAATATCATACCATTGGGCCTACTGGACAGGAGACTATTTTAATGGTGGCTTGGATTTGAGGAGTCTAAAATCTTATAAAATAAAATCTTTATTTTATTCCTTTGCACCTCCTCTCACCCCCTTTCCGCACTGTGTTTGCATGGGAGAGAAATGTTGAGGGTGAAAGCACACACTCTATGAGTCTGTATTATCTCTTTGTCAGAGAGTAAATGGAGAGTCGACTCTATTTATTTGGTTAAAAGAAAACATAATGCAGACAACAACCAGTTACATTTGCCATACTGGGGCATGCCTGTAAATTGCGCCTTCGCTTCAGCTAGTAAAGGTTGACAGCGCGGTTCACAAGTGCCATTTTAATATCACGCGACACGCTCAATTGCCATGTCGCCTGATCAAGGCAGG